TCCCAACCATTCTGAGAATGGGTTCCAGGACCCGTTGGCAGTCCATTTCCTCAACGGTTCACAGCCCAACGCCCCCATTATTTGCTGGGCAGCTTTTTTAATTTTTTGATAAATTCTTATTAAAAAAAAAAGACATTGTGGCCATGAGGGAACCTTTGTGAAGCTTAAAAATTTGAATTTTAAAAATGCAATGCAATACCTTTGTTGCATTTGAACAGGACTCTGATAAATAAATTCGGGACAAGCAATGCTCATTTTCACAGGTCAATTTTTGTCACAATAAGGTTCTCCTGTGGTTTTGAATGATGACATGATGACAAAAGTGCATTCCATCTGGATGAAAACCCCCATCCTAGTTAAAATTAATAAATGTGCCATCTCTAACATTTGAATTCATTTTAAAATATTTTTATAGCAAAATATGTAAATGTAAACTTATCTCTTTGTTTTCCAGTGATGGAGGAACGGATATGAGACTAAAGGCATTTTTTCTTGTTTTTTTTCTTCAGGTGAAACAGTGGGCATGAAAAAGGTGCAACCATTGATCAACTCCATGAACAAGCATATCTTGTATTGAGCACATTGTACATGTGCTCAATAGGAAAGCATTGTGTTGCAGACCTCAATGTGATGCGTGACAGCAATGGAAGGTGTGTTGCTTCAGCCCATGTTTAGGAATTGATGAACAAACATGAAATAACCATGCAGGCGGAGAATTTAAGTGTGTGTGGCCTGGAAGTCACACCTGGAATAAATGCCGCACATGGAACCAAGGGGAAAGTACTGTAAAAATATATGTCAAAATTTATCTTCTACTGAATTTTGGTTTTTTGTTGTGAATTCTTATCACCTTAGAGCTGATCCTTATACTTCTCACATTTTTAGTTGGTAGCCTTTTTCTATAGATCATTTTATGTGAAGAAAAATACTTTTGTTTGTCTCATACATTATCATCTGCAAAAAACTCAATATATAACTTGCATGTTGGAGAATAAATCTCTGAATTTATTTATGAATGCTGAACATCTTAATAAAAATTTGAATTATAGACACTTGAAACTTTAAAAGTGTGCTCCAGCATCCTAACAATTTCAAAATTCCTGGAAGCATGTACACTCCTCGAAACTTTCCACAGATTCTTAAAAACAATAACAAGTAGGTGTATTTGTCAGTTTTTTAAAAACAAGTCTATTTACTTCCAGGTTCATAAAGGGGTTAACCAAGAATAATTAACCTTCAATTATCTCTAGGAAACCTCCAACGCGGTTTCCTACACTACATCCTTTCCAAATAAAAAATATATTCACGTTTGCTCCTTTTTCAAAGTTTATTTTTTTTATTCATGTGGGCAGCATAGCTATAGAGTTTTCTTCTTTTAATTTGCTTCTTGAACTTATTCTGATTCAAAATTTCAAGATTCCATGTTTTCCCTTTCACGCAATTATTTCCTACATCTTGAGGTTGAGAATAATTCTATTCTATTTTGGGGGAATTTATTTAAAATGCCTGATCAACAAAGGAATCAATTAAATGTGTTTCCATTGAATTCTATGGGGAAATGGTTGGGACCCAATATACAGACGCTTCAATAAAGGGACCAGGTTCAAGTACCAATTATATGTCCACATTTTTGGGCCCCATTGTTTTTTTTTGTGAAAATGTTTTGTGAACACATTAAAAGAATGGCAGACTCTTTTGAACTGTAAATGGACCCATTCTAATGAATTTATTGGAATGAAAATGGTGTCTAATATTTTCAAGCCAATGCATTCATAAAGGAGAAACCAGGAACACACAAAACCTACTTCCCTGTTTTTTGTGCAATAAACCTGAATCCTGATAACCATCAACTGGCTGCTGATGGTTGTTGACTCAATGAACCTTTTGTGGTTATTCCTCAATGCAATTTGATAAGGAGAATATCTCTTATCCAACAAAGGCTTTTGGCAATAAACTACAAAAGGAAACAATTGTCTAGCTTTTATATATAGTCAAGCATAATTCCAAACATCCAAAATGTTTGATCTGCAAAGACCCAGTTTGTGAGTGTTACTTTTCCAAACTGCATCACTTGGAAAACGATGCACCTCCAAGAAAATATGATGATTTTTATGATCCCAATGTATTTCATGTTGTTCATGAATTCTTGGACTGAAGCAAGGAATTCAAAAAAGTTGTTGGAGGAAAGTGTGACCAGAAAATTGCAAGAAAACTTGTATGAAGGTTATATTCCTTCTGTGGCACCTGTGTTGGATCCATTGGGTGCTGTGAATGTTACCATACAGTTCATTTTGTTTAATCTTGTCAGCCTGGTATGTTGTTTTATTATTATCTTAACTGTACTTCAATGCATGAATCACTATGAACCAATTTTAAAAATTTCCAACAGAATGAACAGAGCCAGATTCTAACAACAAACTGTGAATTGAAGCTGGAATGGGTGGACCCTTTTCTAGCTTGGGACCCTGAAGACTTTGCCAATATTACTTCAACCAACTTGGATCCAAAGAAGATTTGGCTTCCTGATGTAATTCTTTACAACAAGTGAGCATCAGATTATGTTCTATATATGTGATTGGTACATGCCTGAGTTTGAAATTGAACTTTACTTTTCTTTGAATCAGTTGCTTAATTTATTTGGACCCCAAAATGCAGACATGAATTGGTCCTTCCTTGGACCTTGTCCCTAATTTGGAACATCCACAAGGTAGATCTTCTTTTCCCATACACTTTAATGGGAATATTTTTAAATTATTCTCCTCTTGATGAATAGTGTAGAAAAGTCATTTAAAATTGACTGAAATATATTTTTGAAGTTAAAGGTATAGAACATAAATTTACAGAGGAAAACCACACAGAATCTAATCTTTTGGCATCAGAAAGAGCTCAATTAAGAGGCAAAGAAGAAGAACTTTTGTCTTGCAAGAAAAAGGAAAGAAAAAAGAAAGCACCAAATTAGCCCTTTTTGTTTTTACATCAGGACAATTTCACAATGAAATTTATTTTTGGAATTTTCAAACAGAAAAATTTTCATTTTTTCAAGATATACTGAAATTTACAACAGAATTTAAAATTTTTCAAGAAATCTTGAAGTGTGAGCACTGAATCGAATTGAATTTATCAGCAAGCTTTTTTCTGTTTTTCAGAGTTCACAAGGTTTAATCAATGTCCCCACATCCAAACCTCCAACCCACACTCATCCAAACAGTCCAATATATCAGAAAGGAAAAGCAGAGAAGTAACCTGCAGATGAATTTGAAAAGAAAGAAAAACACATCTCAAAATATACAATTACACAACTGGTGTAAATACATACACTTTCTTTCCTTCCAAAAAAATTATTAAAAACATTTAAATAAAATAATTGGTTCATAAGTCAATTGCTGAACCAAAATTAAAGCCCAAGGTGTTCAGCCTACTCCCAAATAAGGTTGATAAGTTTAAATTCTGCCAGTGTCCCAGAATCCTTTCAGAAGTCATCAACATGTTGGGGTGTCCGCATTTTGGGGTCTCAAATATGTTGGTTTTCAAGGATTTTTTGTTTAATGATATAATTTTTTGGCATTCTCAGTGCAATGATGGATTATAATGCAGCAGTCACCAGCACCACAGCAAGTGTGCTGCACACTGGAAGAGTGAGGTTATTGCAGGCAGCAATCTTTGAATCTGTGTGTGACACACTAAATGTGAAAGATTTTCCATTTGACATGCAAGTTTGCTCCATGGTTTTTGCTCCTTGGACTATGGACATATCTGTGGTAAATGTTGCATGATATATCAATGATCATATCATCAAAAGTGAGGAATGTTTTCTGGTTTCAGGCCAGGTTAAGAGCCATGAGTGCCACAGGAGTTTTGGACGTTTACACTCCATTGGGAGAATTCAAAATGATCAGTCTCATATCATCTGAAAGAACTGCTTATGATCCTTGTTGCCCAGGAACCATGTTTGACAATGTGGAGTATGTCATCAGGATTCAGAGGAGACCCACTTTCTTCATAGTCAACTATATTTTTCCAAGTGTCCTCATCAATGCTATTGGTGACTCATGCTTTTAAAGTTTCTTCTTCAATATAAAAACATTTCAAGATGATTCTGAATTTTCCATATATAGGTGTTATGGTGTTCCTGGTCCCTTGTGAATCTGGAGAGAAGGTAACCCTTGGCATCAGTGCCATGTTGTCCATGATGGTGTTTCTCATGAGCATGACTACAACTTTGCCTCCTGCCACTGTTACACCATTGCTGAGTAAGAAGTTATTGTAATCATGTATCTCTAAAATGAGGGTGTTATCCTAAATCATCAATAATTGTTCAAATTAAATACTTTCTACATCAGATGTCTTGTTTGTTCTAAGTTTTACCACATCTCAATGTATTGTTAGAATAAGTAGGCTAGAAGGGGGATTTTTTTTTCTTATGGCCATGGGGTTTCAATGAACTAGATTTCTCTTAAATAAGGCAAAAGTGCATGATATGTATTCCCTTGATGACTGAATGCAACTAGTGCCAGACTGTCATTGAGCCATGAAAGAGTGTTTGGACACTCTTTCACAGATTCAGATATGTAAAATAGGTGTATGACGGTATGAAGGCTGCAAAATGGAGCTGGAACAGTCAAATGGCAAATGGCTGGTGACCATCAGACACCAGGATGACATGCATTACTATGCAAATTGGTTGCTATGTAGTGATGAAAAAATAGTACAGTTTTTATGTGCACAGAACAAAAGGTATTCTTAGTGTGTTTTAGGATACAAAAAATACACAATGACAAGGGATACAGCTTTTGAGAAATCAACTCATATAGTACCAAAATTAGTAATTCAAATCTGCATGCATTATTTTTTAGATAAGAGCTTTTTCAGCTGAGGCAGGGCACATTTTTTCTTCTGAGCTCTTGCTGTCTTCAAAAAATAAATGTTGTAATGTAAACCTAATTGAAATGGTTTTTTGAATATTTGTGTGAAATGTGGGATGATCTTTGATTAGTTCCAACCCATTTCCAATTTAGTGCTGATATTCATGTGCTTGTTGCTCTTCACAGGTGTATATTATTGTGCTTGTGTGACATTAGTCACAGTGGAAGTGGTCTTCTCCATTGTCATCTTGGATGTGTATCATGGTGGAGATCATGCAGGGGTTCATGCATCAAATACTCTGATTGCATCAGCCTACATGATGGCAAAGCTAAGCTTCACAAAAGTCAGAGATCCAAGCGGATACCTAACCCAGAAGTGGGGAGAAATCTCTGCTAAATTCTCTGGATCATTTTCAAAGAATAAAGTATGATATTTCATTGGATTACATTGGTGATTAGAAACTTGTATTCTTGCTGAGGTTTGTCTAAGGCTGTAAGACATGAATCTGCTGAGGTACCAAGGAATGCAGAATCAAGTCAGTGTGGTTCAGAGGAAGATTTCAATATTCACAAAAGATGGATGAAAAGTGAGCTTCAGTACAAGCCAGGAAAATTGGTCAGGAATCTTGATGAACACATTCTAGAGAATGCTGAACACAACTCATCCATGTCAATATTCTCTGCTACAAGTAAGCACTGCTTTTAATAGTTTGAGAGATTGTATATGGACTCAAAGTTCACCAAATATCCTCAGTCAAGACCCTCTTGAAGCATGCTGATGAAGCCTTGGAGTTGATGAGACTTTCAAGGACCAAAACCGAATCTGAAGAGCAACATTCCATTATAAGGGCTGAGTACATTGAAATTGCCAGAATCATGGACAGATTTTTCTTCATTTACTCATCAATTTCAACCATAATAGCATCAGCTGGTGTTTTAATGTCCTCGCCTTATTCATCAGCTCAAGGGTTTTGAGGAGCTATTTATGCAAGATGGCTTCTAGAAATTATTCAAGCCATCCTGGCAGTCAAAATTGTCAAATTCCAAATTCTAGTTGGCTCAAGATGTTTAATATGTACATGCTCACTCATCTCCAAGGAAGATTATGCCAAGCAAGACTGACAACATAACCATGTTGGAAGGCATTAGATAATTGCCAAACATCCATCAGCACATCCTTGAGTTAACCTGCAATTCAGAATGAAGTGTGAAGCAAAATTTTGGTGGTTGCCACTGTTCACTCATGGAAATATACATATTTGAAGCATGATGAGCTTGTCAGTAATTTGCATGAAAACTCTCCAACTCCTCCAGGGTGTATTTAAGGGCAACTTGAAAGAAAATGCTTCAGTCCTTTTGGAGATGAAGCCTCTGGTGTTGTTCTGGTTTCCCCTATTAGTAGTTTTATGCAGTGGAAACACTGTGAGCAATGGAAACATTTTCAGCCCAGAAAATGGTTGTGGGGATTCTAGTAACAACCAGGCAAGAATTGCCAATGAAACTAACCTTTTGAAGAAACTGCATCTGACCCTGTACAATAATTATGTGAGCTCTGTTAAACCAGTCATTAATCCCATGGATTCAGTCAATGTTTCCATCCAATTGGTGCTTTTCAACCTCATTGGACTGGTAAGTGAGTGGCATTAATATTCCTTCAAAATTGACAGCATGTTCTATTTTTCAGGATGAAAGACAACAGATTTTGACAATGAACTCTGAACTACTCTTGGAGTGGTATGATCCATTCTTAACATGGAACACTTCAGATTATGGTGGGGTCACCCAGACAAAAATAGATCCTGACAAAGTTTGGACACCAGATGTTATATTGTTCAATAGGTGATTTTCTTTTGCACTACCCCTGTATTCTCAAGTTTTACCAAAAGATTCACCTAAAAACTGTTTTGGAATTCAATTGTAGATTTAAAATTACATTTTCACTTTGAACCATTTACAAATGTAATGTCAGAAGATATACATTTACTTTGTTTGTTTTTTTCAAATGCATTCCTAGTAGAAGGTATACTGCTTTATAAAGAGTTTCTTTGTAACTTTAGGGTCTCTACATGCATAAGTCAGAAAGAATTTAAATTTCAAGACATTTTCATTGTAATGATTTGGATTGTTCCACTTCAGTGCTTCAAGTGACTACAAAGCAGGTTTGGTGACCACTTATTTGCTGGTGAACCACAATGGCTGGACCAGACTTCTGATATCAGGTTCTTTCCAATCAGTATGCAGTACTTTGAGTGTAGATTATTTCCCATTTGATGAGCAAATGTGTGCTCTTAAATTTGGCCCATGGACAATGGATGTGAGAGATGTGAGTCAAAATTTTTCAAGTACACTTTCATCACAAATTGCTTAAGTTATCTTTCCAAAATCTCATTTCCCATGTAAGGTCCATTTGATTCCTGTGAGAGACAATCTGTCATTGGATGTATACACACCCATTGGAGAATTCAAGATGATCTCTTTGACTGCTTGGAAGTTGACTGCCTTTGACCCCTGCTGCTCTGATGCACCATTTGACACTGTCCAGTATAACATTACCATCCAAAGGAGGCCTGCTTTCTTCATTGTCAACTACATATATCCCAGTGTTCTCATCTGTGCTGTTGGTAAATTATTTGCTATTTTGAATCCAAACAGTAAGCACCACCTGTTGGACAGAATGCTCTAGAGGTTTGTATTCAATTCATTTCCAGGGATTCAAAGCTTGAAACTTGTACTGTACTAATGTGTTTCATCTAAAAAAAAAAAGGAATGTGATTCTTTCCAAAGGTGAAGTTTCATTTTGTTTGGAAAGTGAAATTATTTAAAAAAAATTGAGTCAATTAGAAGTTAAAAACCCATGCTTAAAAATGTCATTGCATGCATTCTTGAATTTCCAAGTTGCATACCCTATCTACATTTGAACAAAAAATTCTGGATAATTTAGAGACTGGATAATTTAAGACAAATCACTTCACAATATGACAACTATGATGAACAGGGACAATTTGGGATAGGAGCACATTGAGACAAAGATTATTTGAGACATACACTGTTTCAAAAAAGTGTGAAACACATTGATTATTCAACAATTCAATATACTGAAGATGTGTTTCATCCTTTGATTCAAAACATTCCCCTTTGGCTATTCAAAATCCCCTGTAGTCAAAAAACCTCTGCTGAACATGTACAGTATTTAGAGGGAATATTCTGATCAATAATAACATTGAAATTTTATTGTAAAAAAATTATAATTACTCATTCAACGTTTATCCTTTAGGAATAATGGTGTTTGTGGTACCCTGTGAGTCTGGAGAGAAGGTAACCTTGGGAATAAGTGCATTGCTGACAATGATTGTGTTCCTGATGTCAATGACAGCTGCTTTGCCACCAGCTCCTGACACACCATTGCTCAGTGAGTCACATCAGACTTCATTAATTCCAAAAAAACTACATATTTTTCTTTGAACTTTGTTAAGAATAGAGCTCCTGAATTCCTTCCAAGTATTTCTTCATCTGCACTGCAAGAAAATGTAGCCATGTATATATCATTAAATTGCTGTAAACCTACATTCAAGCTGTGAGATCCATACTTTTCTTTAGCAGTATGTTAGAATAAAAAATGATGAATAGCCTTCTGTGAAAAATGGAGAAGAATACGTTATATCTTTGTGTGCAGGCTTGTACTATGTTGTGTGCCTGTCACTGGTGACCCTTGAAGTGGTGGCATCCATTGTTGTGCTCACAATACATCACCAGGGCAAATTTGGCCTCCATCCTGGGGACGGTATCATTGCTGTGGCCCTGGTCATGGCCAAGTTGAGCTTTACTTCTTTGGACAAAAATCTGAAGCATTTTGAGAACCGGAAGGCAGCCATGACACTCAAGATGAAGAAACTCAAGTGCTGGAACTTTGTAAGGTCATCAAGGCATCCAAAATTTCAAACTCCATATATTTCTTCTTATTTTTTTCAAATGAGAATAGTTTTGCTATTAAACTGAGAAACTTCAAAAGAATTAAAATATGTCATTCCATTGTATGACTCATAGATTGGTGGCTTTTGATCTGGGACAGAACCAGTAAAAGTAAAAACAAAAATTATGATGATGACTTTGATGATTTTCTGTGGATTGATTGTATCTTTTTGGATTTTCCACAACATGCATAAGGCCATCCATATTATATGAGGCATCGCTGAGAATTAAGTTACTCTAAAAGTGTGAATCAAATCTTCATTTTCATTCAAACTAGAAGACAACTGAGAAGAAAGTTGAAGATGCGTCAAAAATCTCTGACCCTGGGAAAAATATCTCCAAGACTGGATATTTTGCAAAAAGCCAAGAAAGCCACTTGGAAGAAAAAGTCTGGATGACAAGATATAATTTCGTTGCACAACCCAGAGTCCCAAAAAGGCAAAAATGGCAGCCTTCACCCATTGATGGCCATTATTTGGACACTGGGGCTGAAGGAAAGCTTCAAAACACCTGTATGATGATCATTATGCTTCAGAATATTTCTTCTGAATAGATTCATATCTATCCTTTTCGTAGTGGATTTGCTCTTGGAAACTGGCATTCAAGCCCTGGAAGTGATGAACTCATTCATCAGCACTCAGCAAGTAGATGTTGACAGAAGAATCATCTCATCAGAATTCCAGGAGTTGGCCAGAGTTTATGACAGATTTTTTCTCATTTATTCCTTCTTGGCTACTGCAATCACTTCATTGGCTATTCTCATGTCTTCACCATATTCTCTGAATGACACTGGAATCTAACAGTCTCAAATCAGGTGTCCAGACTTTCACTTCTGACTATAAAAGTAATTTTGTTTACAATTTTCTCTGACTCTCATGTAAGAAATTTATATTTTCTCTGATTCTCATTCAAATGTTCTGTTAATTATGCATACCCTTCATCGAGGCAAAATTAAATTTTGTATTTCAGATAATTCTGATTCGAATATTATTTGCCAAAAATTATCCTTTAAATTGTATGAAATGGTGCTCTTTTGTGAAAAAAAATTCCTCATTGCCTTTTCATCCGTCAACGGGTGTAATGGTCTAAAGACACGGAAGCTCGCGTTTTTGCATTACAAACACCACTGTTTTATATTTGAACAAGAAAACTGTCAATGACATGATCAAGCATACTTATGAAAGTCACGCAATGTTTGTGGCCCTTCTTCAGAAGACAGCGTTGGTGAAATGCAGATCATTTCCTTAGACCTGAGGGGAACCATGAAGACCACACTTTTTATTTGGCTGATTCTTGGCAAAGGTTTGCAATTTGTAACTGCTAAATCTAGTTCTAAAGGAAGTGGAGGTTCTGGGGAAGTGGCTACTGATTGGGAGACTGAACTTCATCCCATTAAGAAGTTGCAAAAGTTTTTGTATTATGATTACATTACTACTGTGAGGCCTGTGGAGCATCCTTGGCAACCTGTGAATGTGTCCATACAATATGTCCTTTTTGCCATCATTGGTCTGGTGAGTATATACAGTATTTTATATCAAAGTAGGAATTCCATTTTCAATAAAACCTGTTTATATTGTTAAGCATATATTATTTAGTTTCAAGATTCATCTTTATCACTGCTGCCATCCCTCTAAAATCATTTAAAAATAAACATTCAATATCATATTTTTTATGATTTTGTATGGCATGAATTCCATTTTCAATCACATATTTTTATAGAGGACATCACCTGGAATATAGCAAGTATAAATTGAGTTTCATGATTCATCTTTATCACTAACAACCTTAAAAAATAATTTTCTAATGATACTTAAAATCATGTTTTTATGTAATTTTTATATGACATGAACTCGATCTTCATTATCAAATTTTTATACTGTTGAGCAACTATATCTATGGAGTTTCATGATTTGTCTCTCATCAGTAACATTTTTCTATGATCATTCTTATATTGATATTTAGTATCCTTTTAAATGCATATGACAATAATATTCATTTGTTGTAAAAGCGCTTGTAAAAATTTCAAAAGTATTCCCTTGCCTAACTGGAATGTTTGACAGGGGACTTTTTTATTTAAAAAATGGACTGAGCTTTAATGGGAATTTTTTGTAGGATGAGAAGAGTCAGATTTTGACAACAAATGCAGAACTTGTCCTGGAATGGACAGATTATTTTCTGAGATGGGATCCAGCAGATTTTTCCAACATCACAACAACTAGACTTGACCCAGAAAAGTTTTGGACACCTGACATCATCCTTCACAACAGGTTCACAGAGGCCAAATATAAAATATCACTGGACCTGAAAGCCTTATATTTTTTCTCTCTTCAGTGGTTCAACAGATTACAAAGCAGGGCTAGTCTCAACCTACCTCATGGTAACCCACACTGGGAATGTGAAGCACTTGCAAGCTGGAATGTTCCAGTCTACCTGTGGTCTGAATGTGTCTCATTATCCCTTTGATGAGCAAGAATGTCCACTGCAATTTGCACCCTGGACCATGGATAAGAGTGCTGTAAATAAAAATTTACATATAAAAGACAATTTAATCCCATCATCAAAGTATTTTTTCAGGTTACCCTTACTGAAACCAGAGTTGAACTTGGCTTGGCAAGATACAGTGCAATTGGAGAATTCAAAATGATCTCAGTGCTGCCAAGAAAACTATCCATAAAAGATCCATGTTGTCAGGATGTTGAATTTGATGACATCACTTACTTCATCAGGTTCCAGAGGAGACCAATGTTTTATTTCATCAATTATATATTTCCCAGCATCCTGATCAATATCATTGGTACATTTTTTTGGAATTTCAAAGAGTATTTGGGGTTCTGATGCATATTTTTTTGCAGGCATCATGATTTTCTATGTTCCTTGTGGATCTGGTGAGAAAATAAGTCTTGGGATCAGTGCCATGTTGACTCTGGTTGTGTTCCTGATGGCAATGACAGATGCTTTACCACCAGCAGAAGAGATTCCTCTCCTCAGTGAGTTGAAAAACAATTATAAAACCATGTCATATTATCCAAATTGAATTGTATTTCATGGGTTTTCAGGCACATACTATGTATGCTCCTTGATTCTCATGACATCAGAGGTATTGTGCTCCATCATTGTCCTCAACATATACCACAGAGGAGAGTATGGTTTGAGGGCAAGTGACACTATAATAGGAATTGCTTTTGTCATGGCAAAAGTCACATTCACTTCTTTGAAAGACCCTGAAGGATATTTTGCTGACAGGAAGTCTGAAATACTCAAGCAGTTTTACATATGCTGTGGCTGCAAGGTGAGTTTGTCAAGTTTTCAAACTGGATATAAGAATGCATGAAAGAATCCTCATGAAGCTTCAAACATTGTAACTGCTCTGCCTCAACATTCACATGCCAATTGAAATTCCTTCTTCAAAATGCAATACCTCATTTGAGACAGCAAATCTACCCCTGAGATTTAATCTAAATCTTCACATGTGCACTTTTGTTTTTTATATTTCAGTTTTTTCTTACAATAGGCAATGTATGTAGTTTGATTCCCTTTTTTCTGTCAATAATTACTGGTTGTTCCTGCTTCAGGTTCATCATTTATGCATTCATTCTCTCACCCAAAACATGCTCAAGCCACATATTCCAACAGCAACTTGTTCTCCTGTGATTCTTGGCACAACTAAGCTTTATATTAAGCATGAAAAATTCTTCATCACAACTGCAAGAGAAAATATGTACTTAATTGAGTAACCAAGCACATTTACAAGTTTACAACCTAAAAATTGACCTGAATGCACTATATTCAATCCATTTGAGCTAACCAACCAAAAGAAATTTTAGTGAAACTGGCCAGTGATTTTTCATCAAGCAGTCAAATCACAAACAACAATTTTGAGAAGGAATTTATCCTTTCCTGTCAAGAGCTTAGTCATTCAACCTGTGAAAAAGCATATGGATAATAACCCGCATAATTCCATATTGTTCAAAATGAATCTGACCAATAATTTACATCCAGGCATAAACTTTCCAATCTTAACGTATTTTCCTTTTTCAGGTCAACTTGAAAAATAATCAACTTGGAGAGACTTTCATATCTCTGGCTGCCAAAGAAGCTGAAGAGGACTTTTGGAAGCCTAACACAGATTTGTTGTCAAGGTACAAATCACCAACAAAAGAACAACTCTTTGGGAAACGTTTTGGCATCACCCCTCAGTCTAATGAGAAGGAAAGTAGACCAACTGTTGCAGGGGATCAAGTCAGGTTTGATTTTGCCTGTAAGTCATTCATTATAAGTGAAGAAATTCATCATTAGCAGAAAAACTATATTTTATCAACAGAGCTCCAACAGACATGGATTTACAATATAATTGAAAATTATTTTTTTATAAAGTGAATCAACTCCTCAAGAAAGCTGACAAGGGACTGATGATGATGCAAATCAGTCAACAACAGCACAAAGAAGATGACTACAAGAACATTCTGACCTTGGAGTACCTGGAATTGGCCAGAGTTTATGACAGATTTTTTCTGGTGGCTTATCTCCTTGGCACCATTGTTGCCAGTCTTGCAACTCTGCTTTCATCTCCCTATTCCAGAACTAATGGCATATAATAAACGTATTATCCATGTATAGTTACTTCTTTCAGAAACAAATTAGGTAATCATTCAAAGCCAATATTCTTGAAATTATCAGTTAAAAGTGTATATTCATCTTCACATAAAGAAAGTAGACCACCACTCTGGAATTTGTTCCACATAAGTTTCAAGATTCAAAGGATATTTTGGCTTCATTTTGGCTAGAAATTGAACTCAAACTTCAAACATGAAAACTTGAAGGGTCCTGCATATTTGATGTGCTTGTATCTAGAGGATGAATTAGGTTAATTTTTCCTGGTCTCATCCCTTTGTGGAAAGAATATGTGAATGTGAAATAAATTACAGCTATACTGCTTGTCAAACTACGCTTTTGTGTGAAACAAGTCCTTTGTCATGCACACCTATATAGAGAGTCTCTTTGTTATAATGTCTCATTGTCACGCACAAAAGTAATCCATGCATGCAACTGGAATTTGAAAATGTTTTTGACACAGTCACATGGTGTCAACCTTCACTGACAGGATGAACTTATGGGCACTGGGAGCTTTTATGTGTGTTTCCAGACTTGTTAATGCTGGGTCAAGTTCAAGAGATCTTGCAACTGGTGGAGCTGTGGATGAGGAATGGGAAACTGAACCACATCCGATTAAAAGATTGCAGAAGTTCCTTTATAATGATTATATAACAACTGTGAGGCCTGTCAAGGAACCATTTCAACCTGTCAATGTCTCTATCCAGTATATTTTATTTTCCATGATTGGACTGGTGAGTAATTTCAAAATAGAAAAAGAAAACATTTAATTTCAATTACAATTTTTTTGCAGGATGAGAAGAGCCAGATTCTGACCACAAATGCAGAATTGGTGCTGGAATGGGATGATTATTTTCTGCAATGGGACCCTGCTAATTTCTCAAACATTAATTCCACAAGACTGGACCCATCCAAATTTTGGACTCCCGACATAATTCTTTACAACAGGTGTGTCTTCACAGCAGTCATAACGAAGAGGGATGACTTTTATGCATTTTTTCTATTTCTTAGTGCATCCACAGATTACAGGGCTGGACTTGTTTCCACTTACCTCATGGTCACTTCCACTGGAAGAGTTAAATATTTAGTGGAAGGCATTTTTCAGTCCATTTGCAACCTGGATGTTTCATATTTTCCTTTTGATGAACAGATTTGCACCCTGAAATTCTCTCCTTGGACAATGGACAAGACTGCTGTGAGTGATTCAGTGTTTTTCTGATTGATTGAAATTCCAACTTCAACCCAACTTTTACAGGTTATGATGAAAGCAGTTTTGCCTGAAAATGGTCTCAAGAGATATGTTGCAGTTGGAAAATTCAAAATGATCTCTTTGGTGCCCAAGAAGAGTACCACTGAAGATCCATGTTGCATTGGAATAAGTTTTGACGATGTCACCTATTACATGACATTTCAAAGAAGACCAATGTACTACATCATCAACTACATATTTCCAAGCGTTCTCATCAACGTGATTGGTGAGTGATTTGATTTTTTTTTTCAAAACTGAAGATTTCCGAAACTTGAATTACTTTCAATAATGAAAATATCGCATCACAGGATATTGAGTCTGAAACATTTACTGCATTAACCCATGATTTATTTCCAAAACTGGGAACCTTCTCTTTGCTAACATGCTGCTTTTAAGGTCAGAAGAAAACGATTCTTAAAATTTCAAATCTATGTCACATACAGCACCTGTTGACAAATAATTCGAGAATGCTTGAGTTTAAATTTCAAATCCCACCGCAATTTTAAAATTTTCTATTGAGCATAAAATATTTCCTAGGTGTCATGATTTTCTATGTCCCCTGTGGATCTGGGGAGAAAATCAGCCTGGGAATCAGCGCTATGTTGACCCTGGTTGTGTTTCTGATGGCCATGACTGATGCATTACCACCTGCTGACACCATTCCTCTTCTCAGTAAGTCATTGGATACATTCATACAGCTTCCTAATGAGTATTATTTCATTTTTCTTCCAGGTACATATTATGTGTGTTCACTGATTCTGATGACCTCAGAGGTCTTGTGTTCCATTATAGTCCTCAACATCTACCACAGGGGAGAATATGGACTGAGAGCCACAGACACTATTATAGGCATCGCATTTGTGATGGCAAAGGTTACATTCACTACCATGAAAGACCCTGAGGGATTCTTTGCTGACAGAAAAGCTGAAATTCTCAAAAGGCTCTACATCTGTTGTGGATGCAAGGTAACTTTGATGATACATTTATTCTGAATGTATCTTGATCTTTAATTTTCAAATCCTGAATATTTTATGAAAGTTATTTCAACATTGAAAATATATTTAGTTTTGCTTTGTTTCCAATTTCAAGGAATGAGTGACTACTTGTACTGATTTTATATTCCAGAATCTGTTCTCGGAGGTTCTGTCACCAGAAAACAATTTGAGTTCCATGACTTTATTAAATTTTAACTTTGGTCACCTTGAATTAAACAACAATTTTTAATCCAAAGAATATACTGTACAGTTTGAAATTTGACCCTAATCTGTTGCTGGACTAGGGTCAAATTACAATGCAGTCGACTTGAAGGATACTTCATAAAATTAAAAAATATGAGCAAAAAAATGTTTAAAAAGTGGCCAAAGCAGGTCAAATCCTGGGGCAGAGGTCAAATTGCAAGTCAACCTTCCTGCAAATTCAACCATCCAATTGCTGGAGGGTCAAATTGTGGGAGGTCAAACTCTGAGGTATCACCTGTACTTTGAATTACTCAATTCTTAGGCAGACACCAAGGATCCTTTGGGAGAAACATTCATCTCCTTGGCAGCAAAGCAAGCTGAGCAGGATTTTTGGAGACCCAATGTGGACATACTTTCCAGATACAAGTCCCCCACAAAGGACCAGGTTTTTGCCAAAAGGTTTGGCATAGCTGGTCACCCTGCCTACAAAGAGAGTAGACCCAGTGTGGCCAATGATCAAGCCAGATTCGAATTTGCTGGTAAGAATGGGTCAGAATTTCATAATAAGATCATTCCCTTTTGTTCCTAGTTAAAAAAATATCATAGTACACTATTAGATACTTGAAAAAGGCATCTGGCTGTATCCAAATTGTATATATTTTTGAATGGGAGGAGCATGCATCTCAAGCCTTCCCATGGATTGATAGGCAAGCTTTTTTTCTGCTTTTCAGCATTCACAAGGTTCAAGCAATTTTCCCACAAAAAAACCTTCTTACTTATCTTTATTTTCTTTGAAGTGTCTGAAACGTTGGCTTTTTGTGTGATTGAAGTCTGTTTGGAACCTTGAATGGAATTCAACAGCAAGCTTGATTTTCCACTTTCCAGCATTCACAATACGGTTAAAGCAATGTTTGTGCGGAATTTTTCTGCCAACTTTGGCGGCAGTCATGAAATCCCTGAAAAGGGCAACATAAGGACAAGTTTGAAATTTAATCCGCGCGTCTCCGGACGCGCCTAAAACAGCAAAATAATCCCCTTGATGGTGCAGCAAGATAAAAAGATTGCAAACATTTTAAGGACAATCTTTTTTGCAAACAATTGATCCTCTCCTCTCAATCAGGGGTCATATGACCCCATTTTTCTTTCTTGTTAAAAGGGGGTCCAGATTTTGCCAGCTGCTGGCCATTTTTTTTTCCCTTCTTTTGGTTCCCAAGAAGCATTTGTTGTCCAAGAAACATTGTTGGAAAAAACTTTGGCATGCCGACAATTCGGCGCCAGATTAATTTTAAACGACAGTCTTTCCCGAA